GCCCCTCCCCTTTCACCAGAGCCCCGCCCCTCAGACCCCGCCCCTCAGGCCCCGCCCCTCGCGGGCCCCGCCCCTCGCGGGCCCCGCCCCCACCTGTACTCCCCGAAGGTCTCGTCCTTCATGGGCCGGGCCTCCGAGTCCACCTGCGTGTCCTCCTTGTCCTTCACTGCGGGGGGCAGCGACCGGGCGGCTCGGGACCCCCCCCAGCCTTGGGGAGCCCCCAGCCCCTCCCCCCAGCCTCGGGGAGCCCCTGCTCCCCAAACCTGGCACAAAGTCGGGGGGACCTCCCCCCAGGAGCCCCCTGGGACTCGGGACTCCCCCACAGAACCCCCATGCTGTCCCCTCCCCCCCCAGCACCCCTCAAGTGTCAGGACCCCCAAGATCCTCCCCCCAGCCTTGGAGACCCCCCCCAAAACCTACCCCCCCATCAGCTTTTGCCCCCCCCACCGGGTAACATTTGGGGGGGGTCTCCCGGGTGTTCATGGTGCCGGGGGGGGGGCAGGTTTTTTGGGGTACCCACCCGAGTACTTGCCGCCCTTGCTGCGCTTGATGAAGCAGAGGATGAGGAGCAGCAGCAGCAGCAGCACCAGGGCGCTCACGAAGCCGATGAACCAGCCCTCGGTGGCGAAGCCGCCCGCGGGGGTGGGCAGCCCTGGGGGGGCGGGGAGCAGCGGTGGGTGCCCCCCCCAACAGGCAGCCCCTCCTCTGCCTCCCCCCCGGGCGATGGAGGGTGGTTTTGAGGGCGGAATGGGGGTTTTAAGGGCCCCTATGGGGACAGGCGGCAGCTTCAAGGATCCCCAGGGCCACAGAGGGCGGTTTCAAGAGTGTCCATGGGGCACAAAGGGAGTTTTGAGGCTCCCCAGGGTGATAGAGGGTGGTTTCAAGGACACCCACAGAGCACAAAGGTGGTTTCGAGGCTCCCCAGCACCACAGAGGGCGATTTCAAGGACGTTCCCAGAGCACAAAGAGGGTTTTGAGGCTCCCTATGCTGACAAAGGGCAGTTTCAAGGACACCCAGAGAGCACAAAAGGGGTTTCAAGGCTTTCCATGCTGACAAACGGAAGCTTCAAGGACACTCTCAGAGCACAAAGGGGGTTTTTAGGCTCCCCAGGGCAATTTCGAGGCTCCCTGGGGCAGTTTTGAGGCTCCCTGGGGCAGCTTCGAGGCTCCCCGGGGCAGTTCCGAGGCTCCCTGGGGCAGTTCCGAGGCTCCCTGGGGCAGTTTTGTGGCTCCCTGGGGCAGTTTCAAGACTCCCTGGGTCAGTTTTGAGGCTCCCCAGGGCAGTTTTGAGGCTCCCGGGAGCAGTTTCGAGGCTCCCCGGGGCAGTTTCAAGGCTCCCCGGGGCAGTTCCAAGGCTCCCCGGGGCAGTTTTGAGGCTCCCAGGGGCAGTTTCAAGGCTTTCTGGGCTGGTTTCAAGGCTCCCCAGGGCAATTTCAAGGCCCCCTGGGGTGGTTTCAAGGCTCCCCGGGGTGGTTTTGAGGCCTCCCTGGGCCCGCGGTGGCCTGGGCGGCTCCGGGGGGTTTTGGGGGGCTCCGGGGGGGACTCACGGGTGCCGTTGGTCTGCACCTCGCTCTCCCAGAAGGCCACGCTCTCGCCCGAGTGGTTGGCGCCCACGAACTGCACGCGGTAGGAGGTGCCCGGGCGCAGGTCGCCCAGGCGGTACCGGCCCCGCGTCGAGTTCACGCGGCCCGACGTGCGCCAGGGCTCAGCCGCTGCGGGGGCGCCCGGCACGGCGGGGGGGGGGTCACTGCGGGCCCCTTCTCGGGGCTGGGGCGCCTCGAAACTGCCCCCAGGGCCAAGAGGCGGCCCAAGGACCAGGGAGGGACCCCAAACCCCCCATATAGGGACCCTCAAGTCCCATACAGACACCCCAAAATCCTGTATAGGGACCCCAAACCCCATAGAGGGACCCCAAACTCCCCATATAAGGACCCCAAGGCCCATATAGGGACCCCAAACCCCATATAAAACCCCCAAACTACCCATATAAGGACTCCCAAGCAACGTATAGGGACACCAAACCCCATATAGGAACTCCCAAGCCTCATATAGGGACCCTAAGCCCCATAGAGCAACCCCAAATCCCACATAGGGAACCCCAAACAGCAAAATCCCATATAGGGAATTCCAAGCCCTATAAAGACACCCCGAAAGCCATATGGGGACCCCCAAACCCCATATAGGGTCTTCTGAGTCCCAAATAAAGACCCCAAGCCCCATTTAGGGATCCCCAAGCCCCATTTAGGGATCCGCAAGCCCCATATAGGGATCCCCAAGCCCCATTTCCCCCTCAATCCCCACAC